CCCCCATCCTGTTCCAAAACAAGAGAATGACAGAAATGTTTATGTACAGAGTGAGAATACCTTCTCCCACCGCAAGACATGTTATTAAATCAGATTCCAGCCCCGGTACACAGAGTCATCCTCCGTGGCGTCAGGGGTAGGGTGTTAACTTCCTCGGTGCCAAAACAACAAAAATGCAACACAACAGAGGAAGACAACAAAATAGAACATGGAAAGAAACAAAATGTGACAAAGCGACACAAGACAGCAAAACAAACAAAATAGAAAATGGAAATGAAAAACAAACAGCACAAAACAACAAACAAAAAGTAAGAAAAGAGAAAAAAAACTAAACAAAAATGTAACAAAACAACAACAACAAAAAATACTAAACAATACGAAAGTGTGACAAAGCACACACAGAAAAACAAAACAGCAAATTCAGAAATAAAAACTTTTTCTGTTTCTTTCTTTGAACATTTTATTTTTTATTTTAAAAGGAATTTAGAAAAATAAACAAAAAAATTATAAGGTTCAAGTCTAAAAATGAGTGTGTGCCAGTTACACAAGAAAAGAAAATGGTTATGAGAGTGTGTAACCAGTTCACACATTTTTGTTGTTCTTATGTTACATTGTGATGTTTTGTTGTTACACTGTGTTGTTTTGGTACACTGTGTTGTTTTGTTGGTACATTGTGTTGTTTTGTTGTTACATTGTGTTTTGTTGTTACATTGTGTTTTGTTGTTACATTGTGTTGTTTTGGTACACTGTGTTTTTTGTTGGTACATTGTGTTGTTTTGTTGGTACATTGTGTTGTTTTGTTGGTACATTGTGTTTTGTTGTTACACTGTGTTGTTTTGTTGGTACATTGTGTTGTTTTGTTGTGCTGGGTCTGTTTTGTGCCTTTTTGTTATCTTATTTTGGGGAGCAGTAAGGATGAACTCCGGCCTTCCCTTCCACACTGGGAGGAGCTTCTCACAATGTGCATTAGAAGCTGCAGCAAGTCAGATAGAGCTCCGCCTCCTTTCCTGGCTGAGAAACATGCAGCATCATCTAGCACTTTCCGTCCCCAGCCACTGACCCCGCCCCTTTCACTCATTGGATTCCAGTTATTTCAATCATAGCAGCTCGGCAGCACATGTGGGTGTTATTTAGGGTGACTGGCATGCAAATATAGCCTGCCTAGGAACGCCCCCACTCCTGCAGTGCCCATTGAGGCATTCTGGTATTTGCACAATATGCTTGCATGACTGAGGCTCTTGAGTGGAGTAGTGAGGCAGGGTGCTGTGATGTTTTCAAGAAGCTATGTACAGCCCCCTGCCGGCTCCGCCCCCCAGCCATGATCTGCCTACATTGCACAGAGACCCAGTGATGACATCACAGGCATGTTTATTCCCAAATTTTCATTATGGGGGGCGGGGGGGACGACCAAGGAAGTCAAAATATCAGCAGGTTACACTTTAGCACTGAAAATGAAAGTCGATCTGTATGAATATGTACAGAGGATGGTGGTGGTGGTGGTGATGGTGGTG